GCCATACATTAAAGAGGGTATAATTATAATTATAGTACGCATACGAAAATTATTTATGAAAATAGGGTGAAGAACACTTCATTTGTCTGCTTATCATACAAGTTACACAAACTTCAAAGATACATTGGTTTCTATTTGTCTCAAACTTCAATTCCATTAATTTCTACAATTATAAATATTAAAAAGCTCAGTTCATAATTCAAATCAGTACATAGGAAAATATTAGTTTCAATTAATTAATGACAATAAATATATATTTCTTCCACAATAGCAGAAACACAATTAAGTACGTGTAAAGATTCCATGCTACATGTAATGTGATTTAATGTACCATGCAAGAAATTATAAACTAATAGCAATGTTGTTGTTAAAATTAGAAATTCAAGTATCGCACAAGATTTTCTGATTACTTATTTTTATAGTTGTTCCGGATTCATGATTAAATTTATAATATCATGAAGATACCTGAATTCCATGATTTGACTACATGAAAAATGAGAGACAATAATGCAGCATGCAGATTACTGTTCGAAATGAGATTCAGTTCATTTTAGAGAGTCACCTTTGCAAACCATCTTGAAAGGATTAATATGGATTTAATCTGAAGAAGAGAGAGGGAGACTAGGGAAGTAGTTTTGAAGTTTTCTTTGTTGTCATAATATTAAGCTTCTCTAATGAAAACGTGTAAATGAAAGATAGCACGTGATAGAAAAACCGTTTATCGAAACAGTATATTACAGTTTGCGAACAGAAACCAAAGTACGGTACATTAGCATATTAGATACACATTTATTTTCCGGCCAGACTGCAGGAAAGCCTCTTAGGTGTATTGTCGTCTTCTGATAATCTTAACAGCTTTATAAAAATTCTTCTAGCAGGAAGAATAAATTAATATGTCTATTCGATTATTATATAGACTAAATGTTATTCTTTTCTATTTCCTGTTCGATAAATTTTCAGAATATGCTACGCGATTTTTATAATAGTAATTCTCCACTTAAATTGGCATATTTCACGACAAAATTGATACACGAATAAAATAAATGTATATTTCTTATAATGCAATGTATTGAAAGAATGATAATTGCAAATTGTAAATAATACAAAATAATATTTCTTCTGTCACGCTTAGTATTTATTTCTTGAATCTCGAGACTACTCAATTTTTCTTAGTTGTATACTATATTTTCCCAATTAATATTCCTTATATATACTATCACCGTATTCCTTGATAAACAGTAACCATCCAGCAAAAAATTGAACTGTACTCGCAACCATAAATAAGTGTCAAGGCCACACTAATATTAACTTAGAATTATAAAAAGAAATTATAAACAANCTAATAATAACTTAGAATTATAAAAAGAAATTATAAACAATTCCTTCATCCAATACATATGTATATATGAAATATACATACTTCGTTTACAATCTTTTAAAGAATGAAATAAGGGAGTTATTCTCTTAAGAACATTGGCTGTTTTTTAATATGTAACATTCCTTCAATTCCATATAGTTCTGACATTAAAAAAAATTTGTTAAAGAAAAAAATAAAAAGAAAAAAGAACACGGATTCCTTTAGATTGAAACGATTATCTTTGGTAGTTTTTTTTCTTACACTATAAATGGATTCTGCTATAATTGACTATGTAAATAATGGAATATCTGCATTATAAATCTATATACATGTCAGTTGTTATTAAGAATTGTAGGTTTAAGAAAGGATTATGTTCCTCGTGAATGTAAATGAACTCTTTTTTGAGATCATAATCATAATTATAGTAACAAAAACATCA